TGTGTGTGTGTGTGTGTGTGTGTGTGTGTGTGTGTGTGTGTGTGTGTGTGTGTGTGTGTGGATTGAGTGTATGTGTGTTGTTAGAGCGTTGAATGACTTGCGGCGAATGCGGTGTCACAGCTACTAATATGTACGGTTGTGAATTGACTACGGCTGATGGCAGCACTATCGGCTAGAGCGTGGAAAGTCGGGCGCTAGTGTGTCGTCTTTGTCGTGTCGTGTGTGAAGGATGGGACGGTTGAGTCTGACGAGAAAGTTAGTTGATCTAGACTTGAGTAAGAGTAATGCTAGAGTGCTAAGAAAAGATTCAAATGTTTATGTGAGCATGTATAATATACGAGTTATACAAAAGTAATGAATATTGTGCATTCAATACAACGGTCCTTTGAACCAGCGGATACGAGTAAGAGGATCTCATGAGGAAATTTCCAAGCATATCCAAACAACCAAACATGTGTGTTTAATTTCAGTGTATTCGGATAGATTTTATTATGCGTGTTTAGATTGATCCACATATGCATACACTTGAAATAATAAATAAAAAAGAGTAAAAGTAAGTTTTCTGGCAAACATTAATTTGAATATACTTAGAAATTGCAAGGCATTGCTACAATGGATACTAAGTTAGACAAATTATTAAGTATACAAATAAGTTCAGTATCTTTTTAGCATGACTTTGATGTTTTTTAAAAAGAACGAAAAATATGTTAAATTTCGAAATAGTTTCATTATTTTTCACACATTTTAGCCATCTTATTAATACTGGCGAATCCTGTATTAGTTAAAAATGATGGTTTTGATTCAAAAAATTTAATGGTACTTTTTTATGATAACGATATCCTTTTCATCCCTAGTTATAATTTTATGAAGAAAGTCCTTTTATTTGAATAGTGGCAGCAGGGACGTGGTCGTGCCACAGCTTTTTTGGAACTGAGGACATGACGAACAGCCTGCCTTCTACATTCTCTCAAGCTTCTTTAAGCGAAAGGAAATAGCTTGTTGAGTTACATTAAGTTTTTCAGCAAGTTCTTGCTATGTTTGGTAAGGATTTTTCAATAGCTGCTCTAATTCATCGTCCTCAACTTTTTCGACATTTCTCTGCGTTCTGCATCAGTAAGATCAAAATTGTCACTTCGAAACTTCTGAAACCATTTTTAAACGTTTTGCTCACAGCATTTTTACATAAAACAAAATAAAGCGTTTCGGCAGCCTTAGCAGTTTTTTTCTTTCATTAAAGCGAATGCAAAGCGTAATATGCTCCTTCTGAGAAGCCAAGGTCCAAACTAGTATTTTTTGAAGTTATGGAGCAAGCACAATCAAGTTACGTGATGCGTTTAGAAGATTCAGGTCAACACTTTAAAACCTCAAATCGGCGAGAAAAACTATTAATTTAAAACAAAATTACAATCGATCGAATGTAAAGACACTAAACTTATTTGTATACCTAATAATAAAGTTGGTGCTGTTGCTCAATGTGAGTGTAACATAAATATTTTCCTGTGTTATTACTGATACAATATATAAAATGTATCCGATCGATATCGCGTAAAAGCGCAATAATTATGTATCTTTTTCATATCATAAATATTTGTGTTACAAACAAGTTTTTTTTTGTGAGATCTTACCAGCAGCAGTAAGGGCCCATTTCCTACGAGCGCTTTGGTCGGTTCATACATTATGTTTTTACTTAAGTTAGGGCTTTGAAGAATAGCCTGTAACATGTAAAATTTATTCAATAATACGTTCGTTTCGTTATTACTTTTATGATATTCATTGCTTCATTAATTAACGTATAATTAAAAAATGTTGAATGTTTGTTGTAAAAAATGATGATAATTTGTGACTGAACTTCTAAAACTACCCACGCCCGATTTTGATAAAATTTGGTATAAATTCCAAATGATGTCAAATAAAAGTTCTTAAATGGTTTTTCACCGATAAAAAGCTTTAATGTTAATAATGTTTATATAAAGTTATATATCGGCTCTTCGACTATACTATGGCTAGGAGAAGTATCCCTTCGATTAGACTGAAATGAGAGTGTCGGGAACCCGTGATTTTTTTACTATAAGTGGAACTTAAAATTCGGGTTCTGTATGGCCTAGTACACCTTAAATAATGCCAATAAAATAGTCATATATCGTGGGAGAAACATTAATTGTAGTTAAACATACAAATTATATGCTTAAACATATCTTGAACACATAATCTCTACACCCATAAACTGTAAACTCATAAACTCTAAACCTATAAACTCTAAAACCATAGGCTTCGGACACTGTATATACAGGGTGTCTCACACTCTCCTCCGGGCATTTTGTGGGGACGTAGAATAGGTTGATGTGAACATAAAAGTCCTACACCGTTTTGCGATATTCGCAATAATAATAGAGATATTAATTAAAAAAATTAATGAAAGACGCACGCTGAATGGTAGAGGACGGACCGCTCGAGTCACAGCGCGAGTTGCCGCGTCCCTCCGCCCATAGGCTACGAGCAGGGTTGGGAAGTAACGCGTTACTTGTAACGACGTTACTATTTCGTTACTTTTTTTTTGGTAACGATTTGGTAACACCGTTACTTTTTTGTATCAGTAACGAAAAAGTAACGGCGTTACAATTTCTTTAGTAACGAGTAACGAAATTCATCGTTACTTATGTCGTTACTTTTTACTATGATGGCTTCTGTACACAGAACGCGGCAACGCTTGCCACGTGATGAAAGTTTGCACATGATAAACAATTAATGTGCTGCTTTCCGTTTCCAGCCCATTCTACAATAAGCAATAAATCTTAAGTCATAATAAAATTGACCAATCATAGTCGACTATTAGAAAAATAATCCACTGTAATTGGTCAATTTTATTGCGACTTAAAATTTATTGCTTATTGTAGAAAGCCTCTAAAACGTGATCTACAATGAGAACTTAAGCCATAAAATTTAAGCTTCAATCTCTAAGCCGTAAGAAATTATTTTTCTTATAATTGACTGTGAGTGGTCAACTTGTTACGGCTTAGGATTTAAAGCTTAAATTTTATGGCTTAAGTTCTCATTGTAGACCACACTTAAGGGGCGTCGCACACGAATTGACATAACAGTAACGTAAGATGTACCGTAAGAACTGACCAATCACTTTGAGTATTATCGAACCGTAAGGTCGCCATTTTTGTGAATACTCGATTGTAATTGGTCCATTTTTATGGTACGTCTTACGTTACTGTTATGTCAATTCGTGTGCGGCGCCCCTAAAGCCCATTCTACATTAGTCGCAATCGCAAGATCGCAAGGAAATTGTACCAATCATAATTGATTATTCTTCGATCGCAAGAAGAACAATCGACTATAATTAGTCAATTTCTTTGCGACCTTGCGATTTGCGACTAATGTAGAATGGGCTTTATGTCGTTATGCAATAATGTGTGCTTCCCGCTTAAATATCTTATATTTTGTCTTTATATATGTATAATTTATGTACTGTCTCTTCTACTATTCGTTTTATATGCCGATTTTAACTTTTTTTTTTACAAAAGTAACGGAAAGTAACGATTTTTTATCATTACTTTTCAAATAACGGTAACGCGTTACTTTTTAGAATCAGTAACGAGTAACAGTAACGAGTTACTTTTTACCGCAAGTAACGGTAACGGTAACGCGTTACTTTTAAAAAGTAACGTTCCCAACCCTGGCTACGAGCATAGCTAGGCGTGATACACTGACTCATGTGCATGACATATCCGTGTGCTGAATCGACGCCGAATCGAAGCGAAGTTTTCGATAGAGAATAGTAGTATTTAAGGAGACTTACGACTATATAAGCTTAATCTGCGATGTCAAGGTCGTAAAGTATGCATTCCTCTTCTGCAAATGCATCCATTTGAGCCGCTGCTTCCTGTTTTTTAGCTGTCCTGGACTCTTGTGACCTGCTTTGGCTACGGCGCTCCTGTCTTTCCACTCGGTTTTTGTCGTACACGTCAGCGAATGTTTTACACTGAAAACCGATTTGCAGTTCCAAATCTGTCATTACTTGTAAAATGAATGTGTAGCCATCGTTAAACATGCCTCCGGCAATCTTAACGATTTTCCAGCCGCAATTTAGATGCGCTTGGGAGCCAAGCGCCATACGGCCGCATTAAAAGATTCATTTGCGTTTTGCGTATAGCCACCCAAGCATCTCTCAAGCAAGTCATTACGGGATAAATCCTCGTAAATTGGCAGTATCTGCTTTTTCACATCAGGATGTAATGGAGAAAGATGAGTATAACTTGTGCTGCATTTTCAGCTTCGGCGACGCGATACGCACACCACGAGTCGACGCCCGGGCGACAGTACTGGTGCTGCGGCTCTTGATCGGTTGATATTAAATGGAAATAAGTGGCCATGATTGTTTTTTTCATGTCATTCTGTGAGTGCGCATTCCTTCGAATAGCTAGGTCATAGTATTTTGTTAATTTTTTTATAAGAACATCAGTAAGTTTCCCCTTGCCTCCGAGTTTAGCAGTTTTTTCTAAATTTCGTAGTCGACTGCCTATGCGTTTCTCGATATGGCCCACGCCTTCGCTCTTTGTTACTTTCAAATTATCACCGTAAGGTTCTGCATCTACAATGGCTTTAAAAGTCTTGGCGTCTCCATCTCTAATATAATTACTGTATCTCATTCCATAATGTTCCTGGGATATTTGAAACATTTCGACCATAGAATCGACTTCCATTTTTCCCGAAGAGCCTCGATGATTTATTGGAGAATTCTCTTTGTGCTCTGCATATTCCGGGCCGTTTGAATCTCTGTGTTTAAAGTAGATGCATGCTTGACAATAACTATTTTTAACGATCAGATCTATTACTTTTCCTGAGTGATAAGCTATTAGCGTAGTAACACCAAAGAGAGACGAAAACCCGCGCTTTTTCCAAAAACCGTTACCGCTAACAGTCAAATTCTGAATAGGTCTCTCGTTCTCTTCACTTATTTTTATTTCATCTTGCACAGCGTTTTTGCAGCAAACATCAAAAATTTCTTAGCAGACGCGTATAAGTGTTGCACTATTCTCTCATAACCTTTTTTGCTCAATCCTTGTCCCAAGTCCATTATACCGCAAAAAATGTTTATGCCTTCTCGAGCTACTCCCAGTAATCTCATAGCAAAAATTCTTCGATTAATTTCAAAACTATTATGAATAAATGGTCCTGAATCAATGAATGTAGTGCCACACTTACACTTCACGGATATTTTAAAACCAAGTCCTCTGTCACCTGAATTCCCGAATGATAAATTATCTTTACACTTTTTGTAAATAGCTATGTCAGAAATAGCAGAAAATACAGAAATAAATTCTATGATTCGGTAACAGAAACTCAAATTTACAACGACGTCAGACACCGACGCTTTCATTTTCTTAGCCGACGCACTTATTCCGGCGTCGGCGTCGCTTGGCACCTCTTCTTCAGTGTCTTGTATAAATTCACCTGGAGGTCGCCGACGACGAGAGTGGCTTGGACGATAGCTCACTTTTATCTATTTTTTGACTCATTTTTTGCAAATATAATGCACAACAACAACGTAAAATTACTGCACGGTAAGAAAAATAGGAGTGTATGAAGAGCACACTGCCTCTCAACTGTTGGCTCGGAGACGTTACTTTTTCAAAAACAGTTGTTACACGAGCACAAATTATTGCTTTTTCTCGTCAGTTATGCCATCTAGTGTCCAACTAGCAAGTCTGTGGTGTCAAGGGACCGAAAAGTAAAGCGTTCACGCGCGCGGTCGTATATCTGCGCTCGGTACCGTTTGGAGCGCGTCACTTATATACATTCTAGGGACATTTAGACTTCGAATTTTGATCTCAAACTTCAGGAGCTTATTTTCCAGATGCTAAACTAATTTTTTAAGTAATAAAAAAAAAGTCAAACAATTTCGAATTACATGACCCTCCCCCCTTAACGATGGAAAAAACTCAAAGTTCTTTATCGTATAAAGGAAACCTATTGTTCTCGATTGTGTACGAACGATATTTGACTTGTACAAATAATTACGATAGAAGACGTGCATTATAATCTATCGTTAAGTGATTATGCTAAAAATGGATGTTTTTCTATCGTTTTCTTACAAAAAGCGTAACACGCTTTGGCTAAGTACATTCGTCAACAAGATTATCGTATAAGTGTCGAAATTTAGTACAATTTTAAATATCGCGAAATATTATCGTATTTGAAATTTTTTTTTCTTTTCTTTTAAAATCTGTACTTGAAGAAGCATTTATCGTATTTTGAATTTATTCTCTTCCCTTCATGTAGTCTTTTAAAAAATAAAGATGTGTTACGTCTCGAAAAAAATTGCACAATTTGGCGTATCCTACGCGGTGGGATAAACCTTTTTCATAAATTTCATGATAACTATCGTAAAGTATAGACT